TCTATAAGTCAGTCTCCGGTGCTTTTCCGTATGAATTAAATCGTTTGCCTCCAATGTATTATTCCATTGATAGCAACGTATCTATAGGTCTCCTTGGTTCGGTCACACTCCTTGCGAGTGGTCTATTTCCACAAATTTTACTTTTCGCTGATAATAATAGCTTGTTATGCACTTCCCGACAAAGATCAACGGACAGCTGTTTGTCCTGTTGGAACACGTCAGCAGCACACTCCATTTTCGTCTCCCAGTCGATACCCGGAAGCATGATTTACGTAAGCAGTATTTTTTCAGCAAACTTATAAAGACAGTAAAGTTTAGGTGAAAACAAACAGGCGCGCGTTATTTCAATCAAAATAAACAAAAGACCTAATTTTGGTATTCCGCCTTTGATAGAAAATAATAACTAAATCCCGTTCATCTTGAATTATTGTTCAAAATGCATAGACCGTTTTGAGTCGCACTCAAGTTCGCGTCAAAAGCGGGAACCTCAAAAGTAGCACACAAGCTTACCACTCACTTAAATCGTAACCGCTTTGTCTCAATTTTGTAAACAGACCAATTTTCAGTAATAACGACATAAGAACGGCAGCTTTGTTCCCGGTTTTTTAAATCGGTCTACTTGTCCCACACAACGGAATGCTTAAAGCTGCTCCTCAAACACCTTAATTATAACAACAAATAATATTAATGATTTTTATTTTATTCTACAAATATTTAGTACTTCTTGTTGTTGAACTGTTCTTTCGGGCCTTTGGTAACTTTCCTGAGACAGTCTGCCCTCCCTCGTGATTGTAGTTCCATTTTGATTCAGCCAGCGATCATCATTTCGTTGATTTATTTTATACTATACTGCACGTCGTAGTTACTTATTTATACTTGTTACATCCCCCATCGCTCACCGGATATGCGTTGTTATGTGATTTCGTCTACGTTGTTTAACAACATGACCCAGACTGGGTAGTTGCGGCCTCCTGAAAGAGACTTTCTGTATAGCTGCTCGCATGGACAGCACTTATTCACCTTCAAAAAACTCTCGATCAGATTCAAAGAGCATAGCTTGGCTTTTGACAAAAATACACTTGAATGATACCCGGTCATCTTGAAATGGTATTCGGATCTCTTCAAATGATGTTCAGATAACCTACCGGCTGATCCCTTCCTTATTTTCAAATTGAGGTTTAACTCACACAACAGTGTCACACAACTTCGGATTAATAGGAAGAATCGATTTCCTTATTCTCAACATTGCGAGACCAAAATTCAGTGTCGCGTACCCTGTAAAAACCTGCGGATCACAAGTTGTCCTAATACATTTTGATTATTCTTCAGGGCAACCGTCTTCAAAGCACTCGGTTCTATTTTAAGTGTACTGTTAAGATTTTGGATCGGTATTTTGTAAAAATCGGTTACTCACGTCGGTAAGCGTCAATAGCTATAATTAGACAGTATGCGTTTGTGCGTGATAACAACTGGAATGAGAAACCTTTAACCACGGACTTCCAAATCGTCGGAATATAAAAAGATTTGTATTATTGAAATATAGCCCAGCAAAACACGAAGCTGTAAGGAATTAGGTGATTATAGGTAAACTTTTAAAGAGCTGAGTAAAAATTACTGTAGAACAAGTGACACTGGTTGTGGGAAATACATGTACTAACTCATTTGCATTCTAGTAATTGTATATTTACGGGTTTTTCGATACTTTAATGTTTTATTAGCATACCGACTGTTCACATCAGGAATTGGTTACAACTTATGAACTTCGGTCGCATGGATCGCTAGTCACTGCGACCATAGATTGTTCAACCGGTGACTGATTTTCTCATAAGGCAAACCGACTAAGCGATGGGCAATCAAGATGAGGATCAAACAACCGTGATTGAGAAACAAAGCCAACCCATCGGTGAATCGGGTGGTACAATATCAGATACGTGCCATATTTGGCGCAAACCATCCGAAGTTCGATACGTGTATTGGCTAATAAATAATAAAGTCACATTGCTAAATTTGAACTGAAACAATTTCAGAATCCTGTGTTTTTATTATCGATGGGATGAACTAAAGAACAACCCACCAAACGAAATATAGTTTAAATCGAACATCATGTTATGAAGTAGGTTTCACATTTTCTGTAATGTTAATACGAATCCGAAAGCCTCAATATGGTCGGGAGTGGGTGTGTAGTGTTGCGGTTGATCACCATTCCCTTGCAACACACAAAATGCTCCCATATGTCCAAGCGTCTCAAACAGCCTCTTCTGAAGAAACCCTAATCACTGCCTGGCAGTGTTTTACCATTAAAGTGAGGGGACAAAAAGCAAATATCCAGGGCTATAACCGGGTTAGTGGAACACTGGTAGTTCACCTGTGGGAGTTGACCCAAAACCCTGATGCCAAACCAACCAAATTAAGGCGTACAAACTACACTCATACCTTTTCGGTTGTGACAGTATTCACCGCTTCAATGGGGCACTGAGGTGTATTGGGCATTCCGGACGTTTGACCCCGTCCCAAGGGCGTATGATCGGATGAACTAGACAACGACTGTCTTGCGGGTCGGGCTTTGGCTAACTGAAGGCTCTGGTTGTTGATTCTACAAGAAAATTCACCTGCCTTGGCCCGGGCAACCTGGCAGTATTCAGCCCACAAGCCAATCACGGAACGTTTTTGTTCTTTATAAAGATTATTGTACTATGATTTTCTTGGCACACAGTCTGTCCTCAGACAATTATAAAATGTTATAATATTACGCATGGTTAAAGTTCTTACAGCCGTTTCTTCATTTTTGTCAATCTCTGTGAAAGCCTTTTCTCGGAAGAATAATAGCGAACTGTTGAGTTTTTGGAGATGCACGTTGCAGTGAATTAACCTCATTTACACGTGAAATGACCAGGTAGGAAAGAGAGATTCGCACACAAGTGTATTTTTGTTTGCCTCTTCGAGATTGGAAAATCTGTTTTTATACCGTAGGGGCTTCCTTTTGTGATGCTAAAGAACTCTGTCTGCCAACACCGGAGAGACAGATTTGGCTATATTACCTGAACCCTTTTTGTGGGATCGGTTAGGTCTTGATTACTTACCGATTCGTTCTAGCGAGCACGATCCAAGGCCCACGGATGTACAAACTTGAATGTTGAAACAAAAATGATGTAAAACTTTAAGCATGTATCGGTAAAGTTGTGCCTGCTATACATGCGCATGGAAAATTAAACTGCAATCCAGGAGGAGGTAAAGAATAATGCCAATTAAATTTTATCTAATAACCGAAAAAATCTTGGCAAAACAAGACATTCAATGTGATGCACTGGCATGGCCCTAAATGTACACATAGAAATCCAATTTAGATGACATCTACTTGAACGGACTGTGTTCATCATTCTAAAGATTAGTTGAAACTGTCATCTTTGAGAACACAATCCTTCGATGTAAACATTGCGATCCATGTGGAAAACCGCAGTGGAAAACACCAGACGAGATTCGAGGTCCCAGCGTTTATTCTCAACGGTTTACGTTCATGTGACTCGACGATCGAATGAATCAGTTACCTGCTCGCGATCCTGAAAATAATACATGGATTTTAATGACTTTAGACAATTCCACCGAGCAAAGTACATCATTTGAAGACGAAAGTGTCACTACCTTTTATTCTACGCCAAAGCCAACGGCCTCAGACAGTACATCTTCTTGTATGTCTAGACAAGAGTAGAATAGGGTTTTCACCAATTCAAATAAAATATCAACTTATCTTATTTGTACTTTACACCTTTTGCGAATCAGAACCGCTCGTTAAAAGGTTTCCCATACTGCCACAAGGCATAATCCCCGAGATTATCGATCAAGAAGCGTATTTCTGTTGGTTGTTTCTCCGATTATGTGTTCATCCTTGCTTGCAGCCGTGCGAAAGTTCACAGAAGTCAATATAACCGGAACGATGTTAGCGATGAGAACATCCGACACAACATTCCAGTAGCGAGGATTGAGGTTGATATCTTAATCCAGTGGAGAGAGCATGAGCGAGACTTCTGTGCCCATATCAACGCGTGCTTACCCCTTCATGACAGCTCAATCCTAGGAGTTGTTTTTGATCAGGATATATTACCGTGGTTTAGACCGCTTACAAACATTCATGGCTTTCTTTATCGATTAATCATTTTTAAGGTTCATCCGATGCGTCTAACAAAGCCTGGTATTATTTCCCAACCTGATTTAAGTTTCTTAACGAGCTGCTAAATCCATAATTGTTCCCCTGAATAATTTTTCTGATAGCATCTTTCCTACCGTTGAATAGTCTGAACCGGATCCATTAAGATTCCCCGAAACTGATTCATTTTATTGAGCGCCAAATAACCGTTGCGGCCCCGTGGTACATATTTTACTCGGTACAACAGAGCACTTTTTGCTCTTCACCAGCAAAATTGCCACAAAAGTTACCACCGAAAAAAACAAGAATCACTGCGCGAAATCAACCAGGCTTTTGTACGTGGTGTCGATCGCCTCGACAGTAAACAGATTTCGCATGTTTACACTAGATATTGATATTCAACTGAGCTTGGATGGTTACTCTTGATCATCCAGCTATATAGCTTACGATCAAATGTACTTTACAACTGCAGTCTCGTTGTGCAACGTGTCCTGTTGGAGGTTCGGAATATTAGATTTCCCCAGTACCAACGGTGAAACGGCATTTAACCAAAATGAACTCACGAAAAGAGGTGCGCATAAATCTGCCACCATTTTATTGTAGGCTTTCCGAGGTACTGTGGATTTAATAACTAAGTACCGAATGATGCCTCAAACCCCAAAGAAGGTACATGTCGCGAGATGTTATCATTTCGTTTAAGTTCTTCAACATACCATTGGGTAATGCTGCAAGTCAAGGCAAGAACCGAAACATGTTGTGATGGGCGGTACAAAGAGAGCCCCGGCTAGTGAACGGATCAAGAATAGGCCCCATCCAACCAGATGTGCAGACGTAGCGGCTAAGAGTACTTCGCGAGACTATGTCGACTACCAGTGGAAACGAACCAATTGATAATTGCAGCCCGATGGACAATTCGCACCTAGCCAAAAAGATATCTGCCAACTACCACAACGTCGGAGCTGTCGATCAACGTATCTTGCACTACGATCGGGTCAAACCAGTCGGAACGGCATGCGGAAGAAAAGGCAACGTACGTGCCAAGCGCGGACCAAAACCAACAGGGATTGACCAACAAGATGAGGCATGAGTCATCCTGCCGCACGGTTAAGAATTGACAGTATATAATTAAATGTATACACCAGTTGTTTTTTTAATTGAATCAATAAACGATTTGCCAGCCAACTCGCAGATTTCTCTAGTTGGACAGAGTCTGATACCGTGTTCACGATCAGGGACAACTATATAAAAAGGAAGTCAACACTAATGAACGAGCTCAAGTTTCACAAATACAAGATACCAGATAACAACCACCTCACAGAACATCTTATAGTAAGAAAATAACACTTTTGGTTACTACCTGACTAGATATCTGAAACTCGGCACAAACAACTGTGAAGCCAATGAGGACATAGACAACACAAATGAGAGCCTCGCTCAAAGTTCACAGGCCCGGCACTATGACAATTTCATGAGTGCAGAAATTATCATTTCATAAACTCGCTTGATGGTTGGTAAACATCCTAAACCTCATTGTAAGCTTTTAACACCTCGTGGTTTAGAATGTTCTTTTGAACTCGCTTGAACTGCTTAGAGAATATGACGATATCCTCCTGAGAAATGTATTTACCATATATGAACTCCCTTCTCGCCAATCTCCCCGTCCATGAAACAGTTCACCACTGTAAAGTTAGAGCAAAGCTAATGGCTTTGAGGAAGAATTCATCTCCCGGTGCAGATAATATTCACCTTCAAACGCTTATCTGCTTGGCGACTCAAATATTTGAGCCACTAGCCTTTCTATTCTAGAGATTATTAGATCACACCGCAATCCAACCGTCTCGGAAGCAGAGAGTAATTTCACCCCTTTACAAAAGCGGTTGCCGTAGCGATCCCGCTAACTATCATCCTATCACCCTCCTTCCAGGGTTGTTCAAAGTCATGAAGTAAATAGTGGCGAATTCCCTGATGGAACACTTAGAAAGTCATAACGTTCTATCGTCGAATCAATATGAATTCTGACGGAAGAGGTCTTGCGGCATCCAATTTGTTCCTTACACGAGAATAATGGACGAAAGCAGTTGGTGACGGCGATGCGGTAGACTTTATTCATCTGAAATTCTCAAAAGCAATTGTTCGGGATTCTAATGCGGGAACTGTACAATTACGGTATTCGCAGCTTCATGCTTTATTGGATCGAAGCAGTTCTCCGACGGTGAGCCGTATCGGTTCTTGTGTTTGGTTCACTTTCCAGTTCTATGGACGTTACCCGCTGGGTTCCACGAGGATCTGTATCTAACATTCATAAACGACCTATCAAAGGCCCTGGGACCAGAATCCCTACCGTTTGAGGAAGACACCAAATTTGGAATACAGTGAGGTAACCATCGGGTTTCCTGGCACTCTTGGAAACACTCAAATTAGCTAATCTTTGATCTCTTGTAAACAATTTGAATTCCCTGTGCCAAAGTGTAAGACCCTATCTCTACAACACAAGGAGTGATTTTTGTATTCCCTCAGAGTAACTGCCACATGCTTAAAGTGAGAACGAAAAGAAAACCTAAGATGCTCACTCGCCTGCGCCAGGGCGTCGAAGGCAGCTGTAAATAATGTCGGTTTGCTCAGGAGTGTCTTTGACCGGTTTGATTTAGCGCGTTTTACCTGTCTGCTATCAGCATACATTAGCCCACTCACAGAGTATGATATTCAGGCAAAGAATCCATGGCTGCACCTTGATCGCAGAATGCTGGAACGTCCACAAAGGATGCTCACTGAAAGCGGTTCACGGTTGGAGTCGGCATCTACAGGGTACCACTCTCGCCTGAGGAGGAGGATGACTGACTGAGAGAATACCTATCAAGGGTGAATAATCAGGCAGAACTATTGGTCATCATGGGAGAATTCAACTCTCTGAAGGTAGATTGGGAAAGCCTATGGGCCCCTGAAACTGGTTTTGGAAGGAACAGAGTGAATACGGTGACTGTGCCATCCTTGGTGCAGCATGTGAACCAACTCACCAGATGTAGTGATGGACAGAGGTCCAGCATGCTGGACTCAGTGCTGATCAAGCTACCACATGATGTGGAAAAGCAGGAGGTAGCGACTCTCTTAAGGAGATGTGAGCCATACGCAGAGAGAATGGATTTATCCCAAAGTTTCATCGGTACCCCGTGGTAAACAAGCTCAAAGAGACAGCTCATCGTCAACTGTTTCCCAAAATGACATCTTTCAAGGGTCATCCCATCCGAAAGAAGTGCTCTGAAGGTTAAAGCCAGCTATGAACTGCACATTCTCGACTTATTGTATCTGCTCGTGGAATGAATTTGGACAAACGTTTACATAGTTAGTAATCCAGTTCTGTCTCACTGTATACCAGTTTACCTGCAGCTAAAGTGATACATACATAGAAAGACCCAACTGTCCATTATCGCAGCAAATCTCCAAACATATTTCTAAGTGCGTGTTAAGTCGAAAACGTGACTCACGCTCGATTGTCAGGCTGCCAAACGTAACCCGAGGCCATCTATTGCAGACACTTCATGGAAACCACACTTGTAGTCCATCCCGATTCCTCTTTTGTACCTATTTCACCGCAGTGCAAAACGTTTGGTAATTATTGAGGGGTTGGTAGTCACGTTACATTATCCCCTTTTGAGCAAACAAAAGTTGCTTACACAATCAGTTCAGTTGCAGTACAGCGGGCCTCTCAATTGCCTCTGTCTGTTTGGACACGCCCATTCATTGGGATTTACTTTCACAAATGTGCTATATGTGTGTGTTTATTTTATGCCAGCGACTCGAAGGAAGGTAAGCTAAACGGTAACATCTAGCGGCATGTTTTCTTCTTTCA